GCGCACCCCCCTCGGACGACCCCCAGGCGTCACAACCCTTGTCTCCTGACGCCCCCCTCATTGCCACTTGTTCCTCAACCATCCTTCCGAATCCATCCTCTGTGACCTTCTCTGATGTTGTTGAGGAGCAAGCACGACACGATCGACTTGTCCGATTAGGCAATGAACAACGCCGCCTCAACACCATTATCTCCACCGCCAACTCATCATGGTTTCACCTCGACTTCATCGCCGCCACCCTTGGTGTGTCTACGACTAAGTTCCGGGCCCTCCTTGACACTGGAGCCATCGAAAACTACATCACCGACGCGTTTGTCCGAAAAGCTGGTCTTCCCTCTACTGGATACGATTCCCCGATTACGATTTGTTTAGGGGACAAACACACCGCCGTCGTATTAGACCGCACGGTTCCCGAGACCACCATGATTGTCGGAACCCTCCGCAGTTAGGTCTCATTCGATGTCATGCACTTAATATTCGATATCGTTTGGGGAACACCGTGCCTGGACCGCTACATGCCATATGCGTTCCACCCCAACTTCCTCCGCCTTACCAACCCCCCTGACACAACCATCGACATTCCCCATCTTCCCTATCTCACCTCTCCAAGCTCCGTCACCCCGCACCAATTCCTTCACATGGCTCGCTTGAACCCTGACTCCACCTACTATTGCCTTGTCCTTGATCGCGAGCCTCCCGAGGACTTGCTCCCAACGGACAAACCCGACCAAGCCCCCACCTCCAACCCCGCCCGCACCTCCATCCTTGACGAGTTCAAGGACGTGTTCCTTGAGTCCTTGCCTGCCGGATTACCTCCGGATCGTGGCGTATCCCACACCATCGATTTGGAACCCGGCCACTACCCACCTTGCCGCCCTCCGTACCAACTTTCTGTTCCAGAAGCCGAAGAAATGAAGCGGCAACATGAGAAAGGATTCATTAAGCCGAGTTCATCCCCCTTCGGCACAAGCTGCCTTTCCGTAAGGAAAAGCGGAACATCGGAACTTCGGATGTGCACAGACTACCGCGCCTTGAACCGGATCACGATCAAGAACAAGGACCCCCTACCTTGGATCTTCGAGCTTCTCGATCGACTCAAGTGGAGCCAAGTATTTTACCAAGATCGACCTTCGCAGTGGCTTCCACTAGATCCGCATCTGCCAGGAGGATATCCACATGACCGCCTTCCGTTCCCGATTCGGGCACTACGAATCCCTCGTAATGCTTTTCGGCCTCACAAACGCCCCTGCCACATTCCAATCTACAATGAATCACATTGTCTGCGACCTCCTCGAAGTCTGTGTCGTCGTCTACCTCGATAATATCCTCGTCTATAGCCCCAACTTCGAGTCCCACCTTCAGCATCTCCACCAAGTCCTCTCTATCCTCAAAGAGGAAAAATTCTACGCCAAGCTTAGCAAATGCACCTTTGCTGCTTCAAGCGTTGAATACCTTGGCCACATCGTCTCCGCTGAAGGTATTTGCATGGACCCATCGAAGGACCAATCGAAGGCCACCTCCCAAGACCGTACTCCAACTCCAATCATTTCTCGGCCTTGCCAACTACTACCGCCCCTTTATCCGCAACTTCTCCGACACCTCGTACCCTCTCCACGAACTCACCCGCAAGGACGAACCCTTGACTTGGAACAACCGCCGCCAAAATGCCTTCGATGCCATCAAACAACTCATCACCACTGCCCCCGTCCTCAAGATCGCCGACCCCACTCGCCATTTCTACGTCACCATTGACGCCTCCGCCGTTGGAGCAGTCCTGTCCCAACATTTCCCTCGTGACACCACCGAAACTCCCTCCATCAAGGAATCCCCTACCCACCTCGAGGCTCCACCAGGCGAATAACCCATGCCTTCGCCAGCAAGAAACTCCTTCCCGTGGAAATGAATTACCCCTCCAACGAGAAGGAGCTCCTCGTTGTGATCCACGCCCTCAAAGTCTGGCGCCCGTACCTCGACGGGCAATTCTTCACCGTCCGCACGGAAAACACCATCGTCTCTTCTATCCTAACAAAGAAAGACATTACCCCGCAAGCGCAGTACAGCCCCCAACTCAGATTTGAAAAAAAATCAGTGGATGGTTGTTTTCTGACTGGTCGGCAGACCGCCAACCGGTCGTCCCTACTGGTCGGGTGCAATACGGTCGGCGGTCAGCAGGGATGCAACCCTGATTGAAAGCCAAAAAGTCCAATGCTGTCTAGAAAACAGAAATGCACTGATATTTCACCAACGAAGAACCCAAGCACCGAATTCCAAATGTCAAAGAGAGCATACTCTCGCCACCACCAACATATGTATCCAGAGCCCTTCCTCCTATTCAGCGCCCAGACTACAATCACACAGCTACTACCAGCCTACAAATTGACAATGCAACCTGTTCACGTCAGCAGCAGAACCGAAGTACATGAAGATGTTGACCCTGTAGAGCATTGCCAAGACCAGATATGTGCCCTCGCATTATCATCCTCATCTCTCTCTCTCTCTCTCTCTCTCGCCCTCGTCTTCTCTACCCACGTCTTCTCTCCTCCATACATCAAGACCATCGCCACCTCCGCTGGCCGTCCAAGTCGAGCCCGACTATGGCTCTTCCCTCAGCAGCGCCCTATTTCCTTTCGGCCCCCGTGCGCCTGCACCGTGTGCTGATGCAGCAGCCTGCGAGCACTAGCTCCAGCAGCGCTGCTGCATCTGCATGCAAGTGCCCGAATGAGCTCCCTGGCGCCCGAGACTTTCCTATATTGAAAGTGTTGGGTGCACGGCGCACGGCCTTCTCTTTCCCACCGGGACGGAGTTTCCACTAGCTTAGTCTCGGCCAAAGTGTCTGCGCCCATGCCTGGCCTGGGACCGAATTGGTTAGGCATGCCCAACCACCCAGGCACAAATATGCGGTGTTCCCTGCTTCGACCAGGTTGCTGGAAGAGCCTGGAATGCTCTTTTGGAAAACTTGACGAGTTCAGGGCACATTGAGATTCAGGGGGCCGGCCTTTACTTAGGGCGGGCACGCGCATGCTGCAGGGCCTTATGCTGAGGGGTAAATCATCGCACCACATCCATACATCAATAAGTGGATCAAGCAGGTGATGATCTAGCCTATCAAAAGAGGAAACCCTTGCCGGCCTGTCTTGCACCTGTATGTAGCCTTCACGTTGCAAGCTCCTGTTGTGGGAGATACTTTACATGGAGTATGCCACAGGCGGACTGTGTCGTCTTCATCAATCCAAAGTCGATCCGAACCAAATGTAGTTCTGGAATTAATAATACTGTGTCTACCTCTTGGACCGAATTACTGAACTTACCACTATGTTGCTGTTGCCTTTCACACCTTTGGAAGGACTCTCTGGGTTCCTCCCTTCCGTCCCGACCCCCTTGACTGCGAGTCTGGGACAAATTCTGTTCATATCTTTCTTGCTCGTCATGATCCGTACTGTGCTCTGCTATTGTGCTTCATTTGTTTGTTTGGCGTTTTTTGGGTTTCATTTTTGTTTTCAAAATTTTAAGTGTGGAAGCAAGCGACCTCAATCTCCTGCCTCATGCCAGCTACCTATATGCTGTCCTGCTCAGGTCTATCCCTGGTCGTCTTCTTTGTCTGTCTGCATGTGTCCCACCTGTTGTGGCCAGGATGTCATTTAGAGTACTCTCTCTCTCTCTCTCTCTCTCTCTCTCTCTCTCTCTCTCTCTCTTTTTTATCCAACTCAATTGAATGAGACTGGCGCCGCTGCCACTTCGTGGCCTGGGACATGTAAGAGTCATTCTCTCTCTCTCTCTCTCTCTCTCTCTCTCTCTCTCTCGGGGACTGATACCCGGTCCTGGAATGCCGAGCTGACCCTCCCTACAAAGAGGGAGGGGACACGAGACTATGCCCCTGACCGTGGGACCCTTGTTCTTACCATTTTCGCCAAGTTACTGGGCTGTAGTTGTGGCTCACTGACCCGAGGAGAATTCTCCCAGAAGAAATGCCTGTATCAAGGCTGCTGTCTGTGAATGGTGCAGTCCGGACCAGGGTACAAGGGATCACCTGCATCTGTAAAATGTTTGTGGGGTTCCATTTTTGTGCCGGGAGCCTTTGTGATAAACCAGAAGAAGGATCAGATATTAACCACTTGGATCTATATGAATCCATAGCCTGTCTGAAGGACCCTTCGATTAGGACCCCCTGAAAGGTTAGTTGCCTTTTCATCTCTGCTCGACTGGGGCCAAAAAAAAAAGAAACTGTAGCTTCTCCGAGCTCTGCTGCCCTTCCAATGTTCCCGCTTACGTGACACCTGCAATGACTTTCAGGTCAGGGGTTACAGTCAAATTAGAACGGTCCGTGGTATATCTCATTTCAGCCACTGGTACTTCATATTCGTGGAGAATTCAGTTCCACTTAGCCCATGTTGGAGACAGCGGGCAGTCACACAGCTATATTCGGCTCAAACAGCTGCAGTGTGAGTATGCTTTCAGTCTTTGACTATCGCATCTGTTGTATCTTATGTGCCACTCCAGTAGAGCACATGTAATGACCCTTCTCCAAATCTCGCACATTAACACCTCACAGGCCACAGTTCTCACACGCACGGACGGACATCTCACAGATTACAATCTCAGTTGCTTTTTGTGTTCAGTTCGGACTGTGCCTTTGTTTTCCGAAAAGCTGATGTGGAATAGGCTCTGGTCTTGGGAATAAAACCATTCTGTAAAGGAGCTGTTTGTCCACACCAATTGTTTTTGTTGCTTTAGTCCTATTCTTTCAGTTTCTTTGTATGCATTACTCCTGTGGCCCAGTGGTATTATGTGTACCTGAATGGCAATGCTTATGGGCGCGGGGTAATTGGAGCGATATGTTGCTCAAGTTTCACCAGTATCTGTTTTGCAGTATGATGAGGCGGAGAGGAGGAGAGAAATGGCGAAAAATTCTCTCGAGAAGTATACTCATTATTATGAGCGGTGGGCTACAAATGAGTCGGTGAGTTCTTAAGGCCAATCTGGCAGTCGCAAGTCGAATGTTCTTGTGGTTGCTCTGCTTGTGTCATGCCACTGGTATTGCTCTCCTTCTTCTACTACTTGCCTCCAGCTTGTGAGCTTACACTAATGACCTGAATTTCGTCTTGCAAGCTGAGTGTCCTTCTTCGTCGTCGTCTTCTTCCGAGATGCCTACAGATTATTATCCATTTCCGCTGACAACAGCAGCCTGTAGCAGTGGATATTCTGCTGATTCTTGCACTGTTTTTTTTTTTTTTTCTCCTTTATCCCAAGCTGAGGCACATGCTCACCACTCTCCTCGAGTTCTGCTTCATTCCCAGGCCTGTATCTTTCATGTCTGCTCCTACAATGGATTTTTTTTTTAATGGCAAAATATGCTTACGGTACCTGAAACTGCAATCTCTTGTCGCACGACGCCCATTCTTCGGGTGGGAGATATGCCGTATAGCTGTGTGTGACCTCAGTTCAGTAAGAGGTAACTTCCACCCTGTGAGTAAGAACGGACATTGTGGAATGACGGATTCGAGTTTCAGGTAGCTGGCCATACCGTACATGCGCATTTTGACATGAGAGAATATAGGAATGAAGCAGAACTCAGGAAGGTGAAGTACATAGAGCCTCGCTCCACTAAACATTCTACGTGCATTTGGATGCCTTTCTGGACCGGATGCATTGGAGGAGTTTGGCATTTTGAATGGGTAGGGACAGGTACAAACTCCGGATTAAGATAGCATCGTGTGGTGGAGCAAAGCCCCTATTCCCTCTCTGGCATTTTGGAAAAGACTCCCGACTCCACCAACCTGTTCGAAGTCTACCTGGATAACCAGAGTTGCAGATGCGTTGTCATCTGTATTGAGTTGGGCAGACGTCCACATGCACTCTGACAGGCACTGCGTTTGTGTGGACTAAATCAGACACACTCATGCAGGTAAAGTCTCACTGTTGCGTAATCTCTCAATTTGTGCAGCTTTGCACGTCTGAAGTGGAATACTTGGTATTTAATTCAGCAGTGAGGCTCCTAGTTGTGTCTCTAACGATCATTTTCCCTTGGTTGCATGCACCGTGCAGTCCCGAGTCAAGGCAAAGGAAGACTTGATCAAGCTGGAAAAGGAGAAGGTAGGTTCATCTTGTTGATTTGCGTGCACCTTTTTGCATAGTCCCTCTTAGCAAACTACGAACTCCGTGGCAATTATTCTGCGGATCATTGGATATTATGCTGCGGATTTGTTCTGCGGATCACCGGATACTATGCTGCTGATTTGTGAATGCTTGTGTTTATCAGCACATGTGCACATTTGTATCGTTGTCAGTGTTGTCACACAGACGGTCGGTGCCCCTCAATTGGTCAGGGGCGGACCGGTCCAGGTACTATAAAAAAGCACTATCAAAACTCCGAGTACAAGATCGGATACTATGAAAAAAAAGAAAAGGACAATACTGTGATGATGAGGAGGATACTATGAAAAAAAAGAAAAGGACAATACTGTGATGATGAGGAGGAGAGATGGAGGACGATGAGGAGGAGAGGAGGAGGAGGAAGGGGAAGATGTGGAGGAGGAGGAGGAGGAGGAGAGGGAGGAGGTTAGTTCGAGGGAGGGCAGGAGGGTTGCTGAAGACTCACCTTGATCTAGGGAGGATGGTGGAAGTCGGTGCTGCCAGTCCCTCTGGAGCTTGATGGGGCCGAAGCAAGGGAAGGTTGGTGCTGCTCGCAATGAAGACCAAGGCGACAGACATGGGTGCTTCTTCCTTGTAGACGGAGGGCCTGCAATGACGAAGAAACGGCCGAGGAGGACAAAGAACCCCCCCCCCCCCTCTTAAGTCACCAGCACTTGGCCC